TTTCTTTTATTATACTACTCTATCGCATGATTATTAAAAAATTTTTCTTCAAGCCAATTACATAAATTCAATAATTCTTCTCAATAGAATTCTTACATAGAATACTTTAGTAATTTTGTACGCATCCAAAATTCCGAATGTGTCATTTATTCAACTAGCTTTCATTTTTATATATTTTCTATGTATTGATGGAATTAAAATATTCCTAATAACAGTTATTTCATAACTAAGTAGTTATCACTGTTATAAATAATTATTTACTATGGAAATACATACAAAAACCTTAAAAGCGATGTATAAGTAAATTTAAAATTTGTTTTTATAAAATGATTTCTCATTTAACTACTACTTAAAATAATAGTTAGTAATGCATGATTGTAAACTTTCCGAATCACTGAGTTAAATGAAATTTAGGTTTATAGCTTGTTACTCAGGGCACCCCGAAAAATAATTCACATTAAAATTTACATTAATATGCACATACTATTTAAATCCAACCTGAACTCAAAACACTAGATCATTATTTTTGTAGTATTGTTGTATGTTGTTCAAACTATATTGTTCGTGTAACTGTTATCTCACACTGTAAAGTAAAAAATTCTGGTAAAAAAATGGATTTCGTTTTTTATAAAAAACCAAATTGATTCACTCTACATTTTTAGTGTGGTTTTGCCATGTAGCAATCATATGGTTTTTAAAAGATAACTAATAACCTATTGTTTTCATTTTAAACTACCATTTGCTGAGTGATAAAAGAGTTGTTTTTTTATTAACATTGCTAGAAACTTATGAAGTCTCTACTTATTTAAGGTCAATTAAATATTTTGATAAGTTTGTCACCATGTGCTAATTTAAAACAAAAACTATACATTAAACTTTCGAAACAAACTAGTAATCTTACAACGTGGTAAATTCATGTGGCTTTTTTTTCAATAAAAAACACAAAGTTTTTAGTCTCCTTTATATCTTATTTTATTTAAAAATGTATGTAACATTATCTTGAAAATTTTGAAAAAATTATATAACTCTTGTTATAAAATCATAGTGGGATACTATTTGCTTTAGGGTGATAACAAGAAACGATATGTAAAATATGTACCAAGCGTAGAACTATAGTAGTTACTAAAAATTTAGGTCTTTGGTGAATCATTAAACTTTTAATGAATAAATACCTCCGTGTCATACAACTAAACTGATTAAGGCGAATTAAATCTGTCCTGGAAATTGAATAATTGAGGCTTTCGATTTACAATACTTAAATTTGTAGCTAATATTTATTTTTTTTACTACGTGTACAACAATAATCATTAAAATAAGAATAATAATAATGACAAAATATGACGAGACAGTGTAGTGCATAAAGTACAACATATAATAATAATGCACCATAAAGTTATAGTTATCTGATATGTAGTTGGGCTTATAAACAGTAAAATGTATGAAACGTAATACAAAAAAAAAAGATACCCCAAAAACCAACACTCACCACGGACTTGATCAAGTACTTAACGATCAGCCGTCTCCGGGCAGTGGTAATGCTTCTCTCGAAAAAATCGGCTGACAACTCCTTCCTGCCGTGCAATTCTATCTGAAGCTTGACGAAGTCGTCCATGTAACCGATGTTGTACGCCAATTCCGTCGTCAATGTGTCGTGCAACACCCTGTGGGCTTCCTTTTTCCCGCATACCTTAACGCGCTGCAGCTTGCCGATCTGAAAACAGTCCAACGATCGTTTGAATGGCTAGGGGTGAGTTTACCGAAACAAAAACCCTCACGCACATTGACAAGGAAAAAAAGGCACCTTTTCCGGCTGTTCGCATTTCTCAGGTGCCCAACTGCTGCTGCGAGCACCACTACGATGACGTCGATACGCAGTTTTATCGTTTACCACGCAGTCTTGGAAGACAGAGAAGCAGGGCTTGAAAAAAGCCCTGCTCCCGTCCAGCCTCGATTGTTCTTGTTTCGCAGCATTGGTTTCTGAGAAGAAAATAAATTTAAAAAAACTTGATTGCCTGTGCCAATGCCCATAAAGTGTAAAGCTCGCATATACCTATGAGGGGTTTCCTAGCTCTCTGGTCGTCCGAGAGTTTTCTCTCCCGAAAGTCAGACGTCACGAAGGACACTCTGTTCTTGAAAGCAGGTGCTCCGACGACGATGTTCTCCTTGTCATCGCTTCTGTGACGCTTTCGTAGGTTCATTCCGAGAGTTTTTGGCAAGAGATTCGACGACGATGCTGAGTTTGATGCACCGGGGCTCATCTTTGCAAACTGATTTCTGAGATAGCGAGGAAAATAGTTTAACTTACGAAACTTACTTATGCGCAAGAAGTTTGTACGAGTCTCGCGTGCGAGTGCTCCTCTGACACTGGTGAGCTTTGCACTGACCGTGTTCTTGTCTTCTCGTGATAAATTATTACCTGTGGGATCAAAAGTCTAATGTAACGTGTTTACTATTTCGCCAGCAATGAAGAAGCGACTGTTTCCGCGAATTTTCGACCGATACAGTGTTACGTGTGTTTATTGCTTGAAAACAAGTTAACCGAAAATATTTGGTTTGGCTTTCGCCTGGGGAGAAAAAAAATTTGTGTGCTTTCTCCAAACTTTTTTCTAACTGTAGTTTTTTTTCTCAAGAGGTATTNTTAATTCTTACTATCTTTGAGCTTTTACCTATCCAAACATCATTTCTGTTACTATTATTTTTCACTTTTATTTTATTATTCTTATTTTTTGTGGTAGTTTCTTTCAATACTTTCTCTTTTCTTGATCCCATTTATAGAGAAACCGTTGGATTCGGTTCAATGATTTTTGCTAGTAATATTTTACGCTATCATATATATTATTGTTAATTAAATTTCCACACGAGACATACATTTTTTATTTTACATATTCTTATTGTATTTACCAAAACATGTTATGTAACGAAACTGTTACATTGATCGATGCAAAGCTTTACATTTCAAAAGTTAAAATTCCAACAGAAAAGTTTCTTGAACAACTTGGGATTCTTCCAGAATTATTTTACATTTACTGGTTCTGTACTAAGTAGTGAACATACGATATTTCATATCATCGCGCATGTTCGATATTTAAATCATCAATGAAAAAATAAAAAAACTTTCCAAAACTATGCAGCTTTTTGTAGTATTTGTCAAACAAATGCCTGCGTTTCTTAAAAAAAAAAGTGTAAATTCGTAATAGTTTAAATTTATACTCATTAAAAATTTATGGAGTATTAAAGAGGATGAACCATTGTGGCTTACAATTTGTTATTTTTTAGGCGATTGAGGTGATTGTAGCCTTTTTCCAGTGAAGACTTCATATCTTAGGGACCGTCAACTTCTTGCCAGTTATGCCGGTGCTGTCTGCTGAACCATTGGATCCAGGATAATTAGCATCTGTAGAGAGGCCCCATGTTTAAGGGATCACTCCTCGCCGGTAAGGCTGGCGTTCCCTGTTTGGCGCCTGGTATCAGATCTGCTAATTCCTACCTGTAGCTCTAACAATTTACACCCTATCAACGATTACTTAGCGGATTATTTGAGCTCTTCTCAGCTGAACATAATGCAAGTAAATTGTGTTACATGTATTAAGAAATATCTATTAGGA